ATTGGAAGTATTGGTAGATATTTTGGACCCCAAAATGATTGGGATCAATTGGGAACCACTCCACATGATATTAGTACCTGCAAGACAAATAAAAATGGGTGAGAAGAATTACCTTGGCCGGCCAGCATGGAGAAGAGCTGCACAAGATAGGAATCAAATGTTGGGCCACCATCACTATTTTCGCACAAATTGGTGTGCTGTTTGTCTCCCTTCTTTATGGGAGTTGTACTCGACCAAATAATGTGAATGAGGTGTCCTTGGATAGACTTTGAAGTCTAGTTTCATATTTGAGTGGTCTCTGTTCGAGAGAGGAGAGTTTATCATACAAAAATCGAGCTGGAGTGAACTGCTGTCTGTAAACTCGAGCAGTGAGATTGTTGAGTCTGTTTGGTTGATATCTCGAGTTATACCAATCTAAATAAGGCTTGCAAGATACCAAGAGAAAGATATCAAGAAGAGGAATCCGTGAACGTCTGGTTTGCATCAATCGGAGTATTGGAAGGCTTCCAAATCGTCCGAGCAAAACACAACCTCGCACGAACGGATTTACTCTCCTAAAGTGAGTGTTAACCCCAAAACTTTACTTTTCATTTTCCAAATGATATGAATGATTGGTGGAGCTATTATACACTAATCCAAGTGTATAATAGGTCCTCATAAGGTTATTTTATTGATGTAAAGGTTAGATACTAACCTAGAGCAAATCTTGGAAAACTAGGAAACGAGTTAGCCATAAAACACCCATTCTAGGGGCTGTTTTCGTATCAACGATTAGGGGTTGAACTAGCACTTGAGGAGGCTGTTTAACACTCATTTCCAAGCAAGGAATCAGTTCTCAAACCTTCTTGGCCGAGGCTTTGGTCGTTGGATCAAGAAGGAAAGTTTTAAAGCTCATTTGAGGTGAGAACCGACATCTAGTTGCTTACAACTTGTAGGTTATGCATGAGATTACGTTAATGCTTAAATCATGTTTTTGTGAATAAAGATGCTTGAACATGATATGAATGATAAGTAATGGACTTGATCATGAATTGAAAACATATTGATGAATATGGAGTCATATGAGATAGAAGTATGCTAATATGGTAAATTGACCTTTCCAACTCATGTATGAATGTTATGTGTATGTAAATGTATAATTGCATGATCATGCTTAGCACATGGGAGGCTGCCACATATCTATTGATATGGAGGGGCTACCATTAAGAATAAATGAGTTGTAGGAATAATCTTAATAGTATTGTGATGCTAGTTAAAGATTGTTCTAAATGTCGACAAAATCAAACTTAAGGTTTGAGTTTGTTTGTGATGAACTTGAATAAGATTGAAGTGTCAATTGTGATTTCATGGAGTAGGAGATCTATGGTGTGATTGTATGAAGTAGGAGATCTATGGTGGGATTGTATGAAGTAGGAGATCTATGGGGTGAATACATGAAGTAGGAGATCTATGGGGTGAATACATGAAGTAGGAGATCTATGATATGATTACATGAAGTATGAGATCTATGATGCGAGTGCATGATGATGTACTCCAGCCAAACTCTAGAAATGAGAAGTTATATTAGGGTTGGACCCTATGTATGTCGTGACCATTAGTCACGGGGTTTGGGAAATGTTTTTGTAATAAACATGGGTCTTTGAGCCGACTACTTGACTTTATATAAAGTAACTATACATTTTGAAGGGGCTAATTTGGGATTTTAGCCTAAACTATATTATCACCCTATTTGAGGGTCTTGTGTGTGAAATACTTGTTATATATCTATTAGATGCCTGACACACCAGTACTTTATAACAGTATAGAGTACTGACCCTTTCGGGGGCGTCCCACTACCATTTTAGGTTGAGGCTCGAGCTTGCTACCTGTGCCCGTTGCTCGGGTGATCCTTTGGAGAGAAGACGTGGTTCGTGCTTTCTCCATTCTATTTTGAACAATATTAAACATGCTCATGGATATTTTACTACAGAGCCTGCGTGCTCGTGAATAGCCCTGTGTGGCCATTTTATTTTAAACAATGTTTCCGCTGCATTATGAATTACTTATTATGGTTGTTTATGGATGTTATATGTGTGAATGATATTCAAGACGCTTTGTATGATATGAATGTGTTTGACTTTGGTTGACTATTCGTATTGTACGTCAGGTTGTTGACGTGTCCGGATAGGTCTGGGGCGTGACAAGTCACATACGTATCGGACACATGAAAAATGGAAAAATTCAAAACATATAAGATCATACTAGTTGAGACTTATATTTTATAGAGTAAACATTACACATAATACTAGACAAGATTGGATTTACATAAATTAATATTGATCATATCATACAAAATCCAATTACTCCAGTTCAATAATAATATGCCCACATAAAGGGTTCTTAATAATGCGGTGACGAATAAATTTTACTAATATTTCAAACATGTTTAGTTTTGAAAAAAAAGGATGACACCCCATCCCTGAGGGGCCCCCCACCACCGACCGGATGACACGATGGGAGGATGTAAATTGGACTATAATCACAATCTGACAGATAGAGAGTGGAGTTCCGTTCCCGGTACTTGCAGAGGCACTATGCATTTTTAGCATAGTAACCTCTCATCGCAGTTGGAGGGATTCGAACCCGAGACCTACCCCTTGTGGCACTCCCTCGCTACCAGTTGTGCTACGCCCACCTGTATGTTTAGTTTTGAGTTCAATATGTCATTGTATTGTAAAATTCCCCGCATAATTTTAAAAAGTTCCTAAATATGTCATTGCATTATAAAATGGAACCTAAGGATGTTTTTACTTGGACTGTAATTTGCCCCAGACCAGACCAGATCAGACCAGTCCAGATCAGACCAGACCAGACCAGTTCAGACCAGACCAGATCAGACCAGACTTGGATAGTTATAAAAATACAAAGAAACCAGACCAGACCAGACCAGACCAGACCAGACCAGACCAGTTCAGACCAGACCAGACCAGACCAGACCAGATCAGACCAGACTAGACCAGCAAATTACAGTCCAAGTAAAAACATCCTAAGTGTTTGTATGGATGGTGTCAGAGCTTCTAGAATAATAATATCAGGTTGGAACGAAGTATATGACCATTGTAAACGGAGGAATTTGAAAATAAGTGATTTTAAATGTGTGATAAATCTTGATTTTAAATTCACTTGCACCCGATTTCATGTAATGTTGAATTACTTTATATCAACCCGTTGTGGGCAAATGTACTTCAATACACCCTCTTAGTCGAGATTCAGTTTAGACAAAATCGGAGTATATAAATGAGTCAAATATACTTTTAAAATTATACCATTAATCATGAGTGCGAAATAAATATACACCACAATAGTGTTTAGCTCGGATACAATGTTGAGACTTTAGATTCTATCATAAAAAGTCAATCTAATAGAAATAGTAAATCAAGATTTGAAATAGTGTTTTATTACTATACCAACCCAATATGGGATAAATATTTTAGCAATTGTGCTAGACTGCTAGTAATTGTGTCCTATTTTGCAACATGGATTTGGTTAAGGATTTTTATGTAAAAAATTATCAATGTCTTGAAAAAGGAAATAAAGAAGATCAAGTGCAGTGTAACTAAAGTAAAGCCTAAAAAGGTGGATCTAAGTATCAGATGAGAAATTCTTACCGATTATTATTAAATTTATTAAAAACAAGTTCAAACGCTAAGATGACATTGTATATGGAGTAGCGGTGTAACTAAAGTAAACCACAAAAGAGCATAAGTTCTTTCTACTTAACAAATCTGGGTATGCCTTTACACACAGAATTGGATGTAAATTTCTTAAATCTTAAGTGTTTAGTTTTATTATATAGTTTTTATATTCAGTTTAACGCCTTTAATAATAGCCTATATCCATATTCCAGAACTTGGATTTCTTTGATAGCTGAGCTGCCGTCATGAAAGCTAAGGGGATATCACCGTTGATGGGATCACATGGACTTGCATGTATTCTTATTCTGGTAGCACTTAAGTTCCATCTTGAGCAAGATGGACTTTTGTTGCTTTCTGCTTCTAATATGGACAATGATATGGTCAGCCGGCACTTCTCCGAGTGTTTCGAAGACATAGTGAAATTATCTAGTTGGGTTAGAATAGTCTTGCACAACCCTTAAAAAGATGGTATAATACAGAGCTGCAAATTCACGTTCTCCTTGAATCACCGCACACAAAATGGTGATCATAAAATAAAGAAGAAATTAGAACCCAACATCTCACTCAACATATCCCTTAATGTTTAGGATAGAATCACACACATCCTTTTAATCACACTCCAACTTCAACAACAATAATCCTCGAAAACTCCCGATCCATTTAACATTGGTAAACTTTTCCTTACCACAAATAACATGACATCAACGCCTTCATGATACTAAAAATTCAGTCAGTGAGAATGAGTTGCCCCCAATTCCTAGTGCAACTCTCAAAATAACAAAATTTTCAAATATAGAATAATTTCACAATTATGATATATGGGGCTGATGTAATCTCAAAGAAGCAAGCATAGCAAGAAGAAATGCAAATAACTTAAATAGATTATGGGGAAGTAAAAGAACTAATAAAGAAATGGCATATTCTTTCAACCTCTCTCCCACTTCAAGTAAATTTGTTAAAGTATTTGTACCACACCAGAAAACTAAACGACAATAAAATATTATATAAGGTTTTGAGCTCTTCCTCATATTAGGTTGACCTTTTGGCTTTTAGGATAGAACAAAGTGTCTTAACATAGTATCAGAGCAAGTCCGATTGTATAAATATTATTACAAGTTGCTTGTTCGATTGGATTTACTATTTTTCAGTTTAATACCAAATCAAACCACACCATTCGGTTTGAGCAAATAGTTACTAAGCAGTTTAAATACTCAAGTAAACCTAAACAAACTAAAGTACCAATTTTTGATTGGTTCGATTCCGTTAAAACAAACCATTTTGCCTAGTCCTAATTATAACAATCAAAACTTGAAAGTTGAGCTTAGTCATAGACGATCATGCATATAAAATACACAACTTAGTTGAAGGTTTAGAAGTGTTGACACTGTTGAAGAATATATGTACTAAGCACAGATTGGAATTTGTAATTACAATTACCCACACACACATAAACATGCACACACAAAACATTGGCCTTTTTAAGAGACTTTATATTTGAATCCTTCATTGCCCCGCCACTTCTTACCTTCAAAGGTCTACCCAAAAGTTCTGGTTCTTGAAGCAAGCTGACCCGATCGCGAGCGGTCAACACTGTATGAAATGTACTATAAAAGCATAGTTTACAAATTCTAAATATATATTCATTGTCCGGATTAAGTTCAAGTTATTGCAATTTACTCCGTATAAGTCATGAACTTAAAGTCGTTTCTAGCATCCAATATATACAATGTATATTGTTTAAAAGATTACGATAACAAATTATTTTAAGTCACCACATTTTTTCGATACAAAAGGCTATTGCTTCTTATACTCCGTATTAATTAGTTAATTATTAAAAAGCCTGCACTCGGCCGACAAATCCTAATACAATATGTTATTCACATAACACTACAAAAAATTACGGCAGTAACTCGAATTTGACATGGGTTGATCAACGATTTTGTGCCAAATAGCTCGTGTCAAAATGTTCTTAGCTTGGCACAAATTGAATTGGTATATTCTTGCCATAAATTTTGGCTAATTAATCACATCCGGCATAATACAAGGCAAACAAATACTCCACGATAAAAGATGTTACTACTAAAGAGTAAGTAAACGTGAGAATGCATTTTATGTTATTTTTTAGTCATAAATGCTTCACTAATATGACCATAATGACCTTAACTTTGGATTAAACGATCCAAGACTAATACGGAGTATTTCACATTTAATTTCTTCCACATGAGGTATGTATATTTTGCCACGTTGACCTACAATTCTACAAATCAATCCTCTCAAACAAATATTTTGCCTTGTTCGTATTAATAACAAACACAAATGCACGATCGAGTTTCAGTCTGGGCACGGTGAATTTTTTTCAATTGCTATCTGTTTTAACAAAAAAAAAACTACTCTATAGATTGAATTATGTGCTACAAAAGCAAGACATGGGACATGCAAGAATTTAAAGACAAACAATATAAATATATTATTAAAAGCAATAATGCTTGTATACAAAGGAGAAGCTTCGTAGAATGAATTGATCTCAATTGAATTGCCTCATTTTGACTAAGCTACTTCTCTTTTTATAGTGCACTACCAGAAAGTTAGTTGAGCTCCCTAATAGTTCTCCATAGCCTTTAGGAATAGGAAGTTAGTTTGCCCTTCTTATCCTTAACCAATCTTTTCCCTTTGGAGACTTGGGTCTTTGATCTTTATAAAAAAGGATTTTTCTTATCCATATGAAACTATCCATCCAACTCATCTTTTTTATCTTTAAATCTTATAATTGTCAATGAGGGTTAGAGTATTTTAGGAATGAAAAAAGTGTTGATGTAATCACATAGCTTTATGAGGTGTTACCCTGTGTTTTATCATGTGTACTCCTTTAAAGCAGTGGCGGATTTGGAATTCCAATTTTGGGTGTTCAATGTTGTTCTTATAACTAAAAATTTAAAGAACCTTAAATAAATATACTAAATTACACCTATATACCTACATGCTTTTAAAAAAAATTGGGTGTTCATATGAACCCCTTTGAACAATAGAAAAGAAAAGATGTTGTAAAGGTACGATAGTACACGAACAAAATCTCTATCCAACGTACCCAGAAACACCCTTAACTACAGTGGGTTGATCTGTCCCATCATTAATGATGCACACTAATTGTCAGAAGAAGTCCTTAACAACCGCTCCTCTAAATGAACTGTTCCAAAATGGGCATACCTTTTGGCAGATTCATTAATGGAAGCTGAACGTTTGTGTTTCGAAATAGAGCCATAGTAAACTTGTGGTAACACTCGGTTTGGCCTCTAACCCGGTAATATATTGATGATATATTGTCTCGGTCTAATTCGTACAACATAATTGCGTTCCCTATTATCACATTGCATAGTGGTAATATGTATTATCACTATTCAATAAAACACATACAAAAAGGATTCTTATTCAGACTATAATTTGGATCAATAAGTATAGAAATTAATTCCTTACACACACTAACATTCAAATATTAAATATACAACTTAACGATTTATTCATCACATAAATATTTTTTCTTAGGGAAACATAATGCCGGTTTGATAACAGTGAAATGGGCGGTATCGTTTGCATCTACTAATTTGTTTTGATTTCATACTAAAAAAATTTGATTTCATACTACAAAATTTAGTATCAAACGTATGAAATCAAACGTTGTATCTATTTACAAAAAAAAAATCAAACCAGACTTTTTTCATACCAGATTTTTTTAAACGTTGATGACATCCTTTATAGCCACGCAAGTGACCTTTCTAACTCTTTTTTTCTCATTATAATAGCTAATTGTATAAGTTGATACCTTGGAGATTAAGGAGGAAATATGTGTTATGAGCAAGGAATTGTGGGAAGTACGTAAAGAATTCATACTTGAATACTTGATAATCGGGAGAGCTCTACTGTGGCAGTCAACTGGGAAAGAAATCGAATGAGAGGCGTTACATGAGATAAAGGATAAGATGAGAATGTGATGTCTGGAATGATGGGGCTGGATAGAAACGTTACATGTGTCAACGTTTGAGTTCAGCTTAGGTATTTCAGTTTAAGCCTGTTTCAGCTTTTCAAACAAATAGGGCTACTTAAATAAAAATTGACTGTATTTTTAAAATTTCAGCCATTTTTTAGCTGAATTGACATGCCGAACAGAGCCTAATTCCAATTCAACGTGTCTTCCTTAATGCTTTATCACATAAACAACTTTCTAATAATTAAATATTGTAACCAATATCATATAAACCACAATCATAGAAGTCGTATACTTAAAAAAACACCAAATAACACTATGGTGGAAACATATGCACAACGGAGACGAGAAGTTCAAGTTAATACCAACAAGTAGGCGGTGCTAATCGACGTACAACCAATACAACTGAGAAGACCCAATGAGATTAAGGAGGCAACTAAGAAGTTGTTCTCTTCGTCTGATCTGAATGTTTCTGATCTGAATTTATTAAGTTCTGATCTGATCTGATCTGAATTTTTCTGATCTGATCTGAATCTTTCTGATCTGGTTTGATCTGATCTGAATCTTTCTGATCTGATCTGAATCCTTCTGATCTGATCTGAATCCTTCTGATCTGATCTGAATATTTCTATAATTATAATTATAATTATTATAATTATAATTGTAATTATAAATATCATTTAAATATAATTTATAATCATGGTCATAATTCTCAAAATATTTAATTATAATTATAATTATAATTAAAGTTATGAAAAATTATACCTACTACACTGATTATAATTATAACTATAATTATAATTGTAATTATATTTTTAATTATAATTATTTCTAAAATTATAATTGTAATTATAATAATAATTACTCTTTATAATAATAATAATAAATAATAACAATAATATTAATAACAATAATAATAATAATTATAATAATAATAATAATAATCATAATAATAATCACCTCAATAATAATCATAATAATAATAATAATAATAATAATAATCACCTCAATAATAATAATAATAATAATAATTATTATTATTATTATTATTATTATTATTATTATTATTATTATTATTTTATAATAATAAAAGTGATAAATCATGTTTGAAATTTTCTGATCTGGTCTGATCTGATCTGAATGCTTCTGATCCGATCTGAATCCTTCTGATCTGAATCTTTCTGATCTGGTCTGAATGATTCTGATCTGATCTGAATCTTTCTGATCTGATCTGATCTGAATTTTTCTGATCTGATCTGAATAAAATAATACTCCCTCCGTCCCAATTTGTAAGATACATTACGGTTTACGATGTTTGACTGACGATAAAGCAAATTGATCCCTGTCAACACTCAAATTATTTTTAGAAAATAAAATTTACATATTCAGAAACTACATTAAAACCGCTACAAAACCTGCAAAAAATAATTCAAATTTCATAAACTTTTGATATATAAAATAAAAGATTAAAAGTGATTTGTGTTGACCAAGTGAATAGTAAATGTATCATACAATTTGGGACTGAGGGAGTGATAATCAATAAGTAATAAAATAAGAATAAGCAATAAGTAATAAGAACAACACCTAAGACACTTTGGGATAGAAGGAAAGATATTGAAGTTCAAGTGTCTACAATTACGCTATTGATTGATGCATAACTCATAACAAGGCAAGTCGTTGAATGAGGAAGATAATTAGGGTTTGGATCCCTCTACAGGGTTAGATCAGTAAAGATCACTAGGTAGAGATGAGTAACAAAAAGAACAATATATAGACCCCCAAAGAGTGAGTTGTATTAAATTATCAACAACCAAACAAAACATAATAACGCAACTACTACATTAAAGAAGAGACACAAAATCTATCTAAAGTATGAAGAGATCACATCATCGAGTACATAAAATTAAACTCTCTAAGCTTTGATCAACCCTGCTCACCCATTTGATTACCTAAATTCAACTAGAAAAACAAATTGTTTTGAAGTTTATTTTACCACAAGAATAATGAGAATCAACATTTTACTCACCAATTCAAAGTAAATAAATAAATACGGAGTAACAAATATTTGACTTTGTGTCCTATGAATAATTCACAATATCTATTAATATTTTTCATTGTAACTATATCAAATTGACGCGCTACCGGGGCATTGCCCCAAGCTTTACAGTAGTACTCGTATTAATTAAATGCATAAATATTTGTTCGTATTCTTAATTCTGCGATGATAATACTAAATCAATTTAGAAAAAAGAACTATTGGTCTAAAAATTTCAGTTTTTAACAAAACTTACAACTTAAAAAGCATTCGCTGTAAATTTGAACATAACCTTAAAATATTCTATTATTTTTGTACATTTATTCGAAATGTTGTAAGGCAATAAAATATTTGCAACAATGTCGGATTATTTTTATGATGAATATTAAATGATACGAGAAAATAATTTTGGGTTATGAAAATTTTCATTGATAAGAGCCTAAAAGGCTGGGCCCTCCACCTTTGAAATTAGTCAAACAAATAAAAAATGAATATAATTAGTTTACTAAGATTAAAAATGTTACTTATTCAAATATATAATTCAATATAGAATTGTGCAAGGTTAGAAACAAAACATTTATGTTTTTGTAATATATAAGATTTATATCAATCATCCAATACAATTGTAACAGGTTCTCTTATAACATTACGACATTCTATAAATTGTTTAATTCGATGAAGAAGTAGTGTATCCCATCCTATAACACTAGTGTCATGATAGTAAAACCAGTCGTAATCACCGGTGGCAACTGAGCATTGTCGTCAAACCAAATGTGTGTGTCAACATAAGTTGTCATTTTATGCATATCATATGTTTGCTTACATGAAACACATAAAAAAAAACTGTGATACACTGATACAGATAGTGGGGCAAAGTACTACTCCGTATTTTTTTAGACAGTTCTCAGATTCATCCTCCATTTTATAAGGAGATTGTAAAAATTTATGTGAGCATTAATAATGGTTCCAAATATTTTTATAGTAGATGTTTGATGGTAATTAGAAAGTGTAATCCTGATTATATTAGGAATTTGAGTATATGTAAAGATAGTAAGTTATTTTTTAGAAGCATGTTACACAAAATTTTAGGAAATATTAAAAATTAACTTTATTTTAAAGAAACTATAAGGCCTAGTACCTAATCACTTATGCTTCAGGGAGGTGCTTCAAATAATTACGTATGAGTAATTAGGAATATGATACGAATTTTAATAGGGAAAAATAGCTAGGGATTTGCTTCATGGTGACGTATATGATACGAGTTTTAATAGGGAAAAATAGCTAGGGATGACAATTGTGACCGATCCGATGGATACCCGAACCGAACCGCCCCGGTCAAAACGGGGAAAACCGCATTGACCGGGTAACGGGTATGGGGCGGGGAATACCCGTTTTGGTTTTACGGGTAACGGGGCAGTTACGGTTTTATACATGCCCGCCCCATTACCCACCCCGTATCCGCCCCGTTTATTTTTAATTATATTTTTATTACATTTGTATTTATTATTTGTCTCATAACTACTAAAAGATGATATTTTTCTATTTTCATTGTGTATACATGGATAATAGATGTATTAACTATAGAGTTTTTTCCCAAAATAATGTTAAATAAATAAATATTTCCGAAAATAGTGTTGGGTTAAAAGTATTTCCCAAAATACTGTTGGGATAATCAGAGTTAAAGAACCGCCACTTGAAGTGGCGGCTTATATAAGCAAAAACTTAACGCACGTAGCTAAGAGAAATGAGACATCCAGTCATGGGTCCCACCACAAAATAAAATATCATGTTTTTTTAAAGTGATATAACTTTTTTATTTGTACTCTGATTTTTATAAAAAATATATCAAAATTCATAACTTTTTATTATCTTTCATATGACACCAATATCGAATATATAAAAATAAAAAATAAAAATTGACACTTTAAAAATATCCAATTTTGTAAAGCGCTATATCTTTTTTATTTATACTCCGATCGTTATAAAAAATATATCAAAATTCATAATTTTTTATTATCTTTCATATGACACCAATATTGAATATATAAAAAATAAAAAGTAATTTAAAACTTTAAAATATCTCCTATTTTAAAACGTTATATCTTTTTTATTTGTATTCCGATTATTGTAAACAATATATATTAAAATCCTTAAGTCTTTATTATCTTCTACCCCGTATATGAGAGTTTTTTCCCAAAATAATGTTAAATAAATTAATATTTCCGAAAATAATGTTGGGTTAAAAGTATTTTCCAAAATACTGTTGGAATGATCAGAGTTAAAGAACCGCCACTTGAAGTGGCTGCTTATATAAGCAAAAACTTACGCATGTACAAAGCTAAGAGCAAGGAGACATCCATTCATGGGTCCCACCACAAAATAAAATAACATGTTTTTTGAAGTGATATAACTTCTTTATTTGTACTCTGATTTTTATAAAAAATATATCAAATTTCATAACTTTTTATTATCTTTCATATGACACCAATATCGAATATATAAAATAAGAAATAAAAATTGACACTTTAAAAATATGCATTTTTTTAAAGTGTTATATCTTTTTTATTTATACTCCGATCGTTATAAAACATATATCAAAATTCATAATTTTTTTATTATCTTTCATATGACACTAATATTGAATATATAAAAATAACAAATTTATTTTATCGATAATAAACGATCCTAAATTTCAAAAAATAATAGAATAACTATTTTTTTATAAACAACATTGATATCATAAACGGGGTAGAAGATAATAAAGACTTAAGGATTTTGATATATATTGTTTACAATAATCGGAATACAAATAAAAAAGATATAACGTTTTAAAATAGGAGATATTTTAAAGTGTTAAATTACTTTTTATTTTTTATATATTCAATATTGGTGTCATATGAAAGATAATAAAAAATTATGAATTTTGATATATTTTTTATAACGATCGGAGTATAAATAAAAAAGATATAGCGCTTTACAAAATTGGATATTTTTAAAGTGTCAATTTTTATTTTTTATTTTTATATATTCGATATTGG